TAATCAAAAGCTATATCTATCCTCTCTAATGAACACAAAGAGCTTGTCATGGCATTTATAGGTAACCTTATTAATGTTTTATATCCCATACCAAACAACAACGTATCACATTCTCTAGTTTCCAATTCTTCACAAACAATCAATTCACAATTAAATAACTCTCCTCAATCAATACATGATTACGAAGAAAAAGAGATGGAAGTATCTGACATCGAGTCGGATTGCTAACTCCTCTGAAAAATAAATTCTTACATGAATTTAAGATTTACTTCAATAACTATTATACAGTGGAATATTAGATCATATAATACTAATGTAGATAATTTAAAAATTTTAGTTAAAGATTTTAGCCCAGATATTATTTTATTAAATGAAACTTGGTTAAAAGAATCTCATATTATTAGATGTAGAGGTTATCAGGTGATATAGCCCTCAAGCTAACCTTATAGATAAACAAAATTGGATTAAGTTTATAGAATAATTCAACAAGCCTTTAATTATAATGGGAGATATGAATTGTAATCATGAAGCTCGGGGTAGTTCTTTTAACAGTGTAAATAGGAGGCATATATTTCAAACATTAGAACTTTTAGACATGGTTTTCTTAAATGATGGTTCACCCACTCGTTTGTCCCCTCCAAGTCAAAGTAAGTCAGTTGTTGACTTAACCTTAGTTTCAAAAAATCTGGCTGACCATTGCTGATCCTGGGTCTAGTGACCATTTCGCAATACTTTGTAAAATATGAAGTTTTCCATATACCTTTTCTCCAAAATTTATGAAAAGAAATCTTTCGAAAGCCGATTGGAATAGCTACCATAATAGAATAGAAATCCTCTTATCTTCTTCTTCAAATAATAACTATGATTTCTTTGTCAATGTACTTAATAGTACTGCAGACTTAACTATTCCGTTATATAAATATTCAGACAAAAAACAGTTTCATATCCCTTGATGGGATGACTCCTGTTCAACTGTAACAAAAAACAGAATTAATGCAATAAGGTATTTTAAACAAACTCCATCTCTTGAAAATTGTTTGGCTAAAAATAATATTGGAGTTGCAAGAAGGTTTTTAAAATCTAAAAGAAAGGATAGTTTTAGAAGGTACTGCAGAAGCCAAATACCTCGGAGACATATTTGACCAAAGGCTGACGTGGAATCAACATCTCAAAAAACTCACACATAAAGCTACAATAGCTCTCGTAAGCTGTAGAAGAATATGTGGGAAAAACTGGGGTCTAAACTCCAAAATGACCATATGGTTATACACAAGGGTAATAAGACCCATGATAACCTATGGCGCAGTGGCGTAGGTAACCAAAACTGAGCAGGCAAGTGCAATAGGCCAACTCACTAGCATGCAGCGGCTTGCCTGTCTTAGTGCTACTGGGGCCATGCGCACTACGCCGACCGCAGCAATGGAGGTATTATTAAATCTCACGCCACTGCACATCTTTATACAAGGAGAAACCAGGTCAGCTATTTACAGGCTAATGCAGGGACAGAACACAATAAGCCAACTACATAGCGCCGACCACACAAGGCTATATCAGCAAGTAAAAAGGGATAATATTCTAGCTATGCCTACAGATACAGCCATAATCACAGACAAATTGGAAAGAAATTTTCAAATTCAAATACCAGCCCGAGAATCCTGGAAACAGGGACCTCCCGTACAGGCTGAACTCGTCTGGTACACAGACGGTTCAAAAACCAAGGAAGGAGCCGATGCTGGAATCTATGGACCCAAGTAGAAATCAACGATTTCGCTTCGTTTAGGAAAATATGCAACAGTGTTCCAGGCTGAGCTAATAGCCATACAACACTGTGCAAGAGAAATATTAAATCAGCAAGTATCAGGCAAAACTATTGCCATATACTCTGATAGCCAAGCAGCTCTAAAGGCAATTATCTCACCAAAAATCAAATCAAGACTGGTGAAAGACTGTCTAGAAGACCTGACAGAGCTAAGTAGTCAAAATAAGGTGACCTTAGCCTGGGTTCCAGGCCATGAGAGATATCAGGGCAACGGAGAGGCCGACGAATTAACCCGAGAAGGCTCAGATGCCATGAGAGGCCCCGAACCCTTCTGTGGAGTTGCTAAGGCATTGTGCAAGGCATCTATTAAACAATGGATGCGAAAAGAGTCTCAGGAATGGTGGAACAACTATCCAAGACCGAGACAGGCCAAACAGTTCATCAAGGAACCATCGACCAAGTTCACGAAAGACCTACTGGATCAAAAGCGTCAAATCGTTAGGATAACAGTAGGCCTTCTCACTGGACACTGTCGCCTCAAAACGCACATGAGTGTTATAAATGCAGCAGAAGGAGCAACTTTGTGCAGGTTCTGTGAAGAAGAAGAGGAAACATCATCCCACGTCCTGTGCCAATGCGAAGGCCAGGCTGGAATGAGGTTTTTAACATTGGGCGAAGAAAAGCCAATTGCCACTGTCAAAGCTACTAAGTCTAATAAAAAAGACCAGGCTAGACGACATACTCTAAAACAAACGGAGTCCCACAATAGATCTGAGAAGATCGCGCTGGACAACGACAAATAACGTCCAACTCCTAATCTATCTAATCTAAGCTTAAATGAGTTTTTATTGTCTTCCAAGATTGGCTTGTTAACCATAATTTTAAATTGTCTTCAAATAAATCTAAAGCTATTTTATTTACTAAAGGTCAAACTAAATTTATTACTCCCAGTATTTTAATTAACTATTAAACTATTCATTGGTTTGATACTACTAAATACTTAGGTATGTTTATCCATAAGAATTTAAAATGGACTGCTCATATCAATTATTTAGAGACAAAAGTGAGTTAAAACCTAAATGTTATGCGAGCTCTTTGTGTTACTTGGTGGGGAGGTGATCCGAAAACACTGAATATTTTACAAGGCCATCATTTTAAGTCACCTTGAATATGGCTGTCAAGTCCTGAGTCCCACTACCAAAACTATAAGTAAGAAGCTTGACCAACTATAATATCAAGGATTACGGATTATTACAGGTTGCATGAAATCAACTCCAGTTCAGGCATTGTTAGCGGAAAGCGGAGAAATTCCTTTAAGGTATAGAAGAGAATGGCTAACATGGACATTCGTAATAAAAAACATAGCAATTGAACACAACCCAATTATAGAGGCAATAACGGTTTTAGATAATCTAATATGTAGTAATCCGAGAAATACTTATTGGAGAAATAGGGAGAAACCCTTCATCGTTCTCGTATATAATTATTTAAAGTCACTGAATTTTGATCTATATACTAGTGAATTACTCCCATGCTATAATTTTGAATTAAAATATCAGCTGACCCCGATAAAATTTGAAAACCTGCTGAGTATAAAAAACGATGAACTAGGATCTATTTAACTTCAAAAAATTTCAAATAAATATCCTTCTCATATAAAGTTTTTTACTGATGGATCAGTTGATGACTTAGGTAATGCAGGATTTGGGGTTTTTAGTCCTGAATTAAAATATTAATTCTCTTCGAAATTACACCCAGATTTGCACAGCAGAATTAATTGCCATTCCATTTGCACTGCCAGTCGTTAACAAATAAGTGAAGCTTAATTTTTATTGGAAAACTGTCTTAAGCTTCGATTATTTCTTAATGACTAGCAGTGCAAATAAAAGAAGCTTAAAATGACTTTCTTATTGAAAAACTCACATTAGGTTTTGCTTATTTCTTAACGGCTAGCAGTCTACTTAATTAAAGAACATAGCTATAATAAAAAATAATTATTGTCAAATTTTGGGGTTTATAAAAAATATAGGTAGTAATAGGTAAGTATTTAAAAATAAAATTTATGTTGTATTAAAAAGTACTTAGACATGTTTTCTAATTCTGCATTTTCTTACAATTATATACCATAGGATGTATATAAAAAACATATAATATATCGTTTAAAACACGGTATGTACTATAATCGTAAACTGTAAACATATACGGAATCAACCAATACCAAAATTAAACGAGTATTACGTATAAAATACGTTAGTTATACTAATATGTGCTGCCTGGGCCGTTTATGATCATTAGTTTGACAGCTGAATATCGTTACCCAGAGGACGTCTATATACACTTTCTTTTTGAAATATAATTAGTAATTTAAAATTGACAAATTAAATCTATTGCAGTTAATTCTATTTGCGGAAGTTTGAAATCTTATTCTATTATAACCATATCTAGTAAAAAGTTTTCAAGTGGCTCCTTGGTCGAGATCATCTAGCGGTTGAAAGCGTAGAACAATAATGGACGTGTCGTGAGTTCGATGCCTGCTCAGGTCAAGCGATCTTTAATTAAAATAAATAAATAAATAAATGGTGTATAGCGGGTTGCGAAAATAATAAATACATTATTAATATTATAAAATAGTGTGTGGTAAGTTGCGATTGTGATCTCAATGAAAATATATCCTGGACGTTTTTTGAATGTCCTGTATACGACGTCCAAATATAATCCAGAATTGGACGTCCTCTGAATGGTCAAAAGTGTGGCATTTATATACTTCACTGGACGTATACTGGATGTCGGCAGTCCAGAAAAAACTCATTTTTGAACTTCCAGACATCCAAAATTGTATATCGAATGGACGTCCAATGGACCTATTTTTGTGGTCTGGTTGATAGCCAGACCAGGTATTCAACTCTTAATACACAAACCTTAAATGAAATCCAGCTTATCTTTTCGAGAAAACACATGTTTCCACAGAAATGTGTAATAAAATTGAAAGTCCTTTTAATTTAATATAAATCCAAAAATTCTAAAAATTGTGAGTACTTTTTAAACCTAAAAACTTTGCAAATATTTCGTTAAACTCTCAAATGTAATGTCTTTTTAATTATTGGTACTTAATTTTTTTTTGATGCCCTTAATTTTATACCCAAAATGGAGAAGCATTGTAATATCTATATCGGGTAAATATAAATAAAAATATAAACTTGTTTAAATATTATTAATTCACAAAAAGAGAAAAACTCGCTTAAATGTTTTCATCATTCGAACTTTATTTACTCTTAATAACTTTTACATTAAGTGAAGAAGTCAGTGCTGGAAAATTTAAGTTTTTAATGGCTTTTCTCACTTAGGTTTACCATCCCAATTTTTGTTACAATAAATCATTATCTTAATGGGATTCCCAACTTTGTCTCTGTGTGTCTCGTAGGCCTTTTGAGTCTCCTCTATCTTAAAGCGATGAGTAACGAGGTCTTTGACGCACACCCTTCCAGATCTGACCATCTCAATGGCCTCTGGGTAATCGTTGTTATATCTGAATGAACCTATCATGGTTATTTCTTTGACCAGAGCGGCTCCAAATGGCATATTCATCTCCATTCCACCCATACCTGAAAACAACAGGTTTTCATCATCTTTAATAAGCAAAGATTTAAGAAGTGTAAAATAATGTTAGTGCTATCATTTTTAAACTTTTTAAACCTTTGCTAATCACAAAATTTTTTCACTTTTAACACTACTTATGAACAACCTAATGACCTAGATATGGGATCTGGCCTATCAACCCTAATCGCTGATATCTTCACGAATCATCTGGAAACTAGTTACATAATCCCACAACATAAAAATATTTTAAATTGAATAAACACCATTCATCCTAATATAAAATTAATTCTTGAATCAGAAAAAGAAAGTTGTTTGAATTTTTTGGACCTCTCTGTTCATAGATATGGTAACAAGTTTGATTTGGTATGTATAGAAAATCCACTCAATCCACAGACTTCTATCAATTTCATTAAATAAATATAAACAACTTGAGTGGATTTTCCATATCAACTCTTGTTGCACAAACTACTACTGTGAATGGTTTAAACCGTATATTAAATAAATTAGTTCTATATATAAATAATTATATAAAACTATGCCTTCCAAAAAACTTATTGGTATTAGGGAAAAATATAGAAGCTGAAGTTGAACATGGAACTGAAATTCCTTAAAAAAGTCATCAGTAAGTAGAACTGTTTACACTAAAGTATGAAAGTCGGAATTTACATGTTTTTTTTGGCGAATTTTTATACGTAGTTACAGTGTAAATGTTCATTTTTGTTACTTTTAAAAGCGTTTTGGCGGGCTCCATTCAATCAGACTTGGGCATCAGTCTGTCTCCCCTTTGGAGTTCGTATGGCGGCACTGCAGCCGCACGAACCTTATTGTATTACCATTTAGATGATCTACTCCTTTCCATTCATGAAACTCATACATTTCACTGTCTAGATGGATCCAGAACTCTATGAGTCAGGTCACCCATCCAGACTGTGGCCGTTCTAGTAACGGCTGCGCGGCGATGATTGTTATGAATACCTTTCTCAGTCAGCCAGCGACCTGGCTCCAATAGAAATTATTAAGATATACCGTTTACCTAATAGCACTACTGTTCCTCCTGCTCGTGTACAGTGCAATCCCAATCGAGCACATGTAACGTCTCCGGCGCATTCAAAGGTCGCGTGTGGTTCACATCCAAGAGTAGTCTTAACTTTCTCCGCAATTTCCAATTCTTTCATACCGCTTGTATTGATGGTTTTAAAAGCACCCATTTTTTGAGCCAGCTCCAATCTGTAATCCATGTAATCCGTAACTAAAACCGCTCCAGCTCCGTAAGCCTTTGCAGCGGCCAAGACAGACAGTCCGATGGGTCCTGAGCCTTGCACAAAACATACAGATCCTGAAAATTAGAGCTTTTTTATTTAGTTATATCAAAGAGTACAAAATATAACTATAAAAAAGGAGTCACTCGCCAAATTACCGCCTTCTAACGCGATCAGTCCTCCACAGTCCTTTCTCGATCGGCAGTATACCGGTGTAGTTCAACGCGTAAGGCTCGTTTGCTCCGCTACGTTAGATTCCGCTGTGTATTGGCCGATACATTCCACTATCATCGCCGCCGCGTCTTACCGCTTAACCCCGGTATAGCCCAATTAGCTCTGTACTCTTTGAAAAAACGCCGACTTGTCGGTCCGCATTTAAAGCGCGATTTCCTTTGTAAATGCCGCAAGTGACTTCTCTTTTATAGTTATATTTTGTACTCTTTGGTTATATACTAACCATCTATAGGTACGGAAATCCAAACGCGGACCATCTTTTTTACAATGAATTGAACAAGGTCTAATAGGACTTCCATTTACGCTCATCTTTATTAGATTTGGCTTAGATGGTACGCGTTAAGATTTTTGAACCTGTACACTGAAATTCGTTATTAATGGACGGTAGAAATATATAAGAAATTGTTTATTGTGTGATTTTTGAGCTACCAGATTTTATCTTTAAATATTTTCTTGTTTTGGATTCAAAGTTCTCGTGAAAACTTTAATATTTTTATTTTTTCGATATATAATGCAACGGTTTTAATCGAGCGTTAATAAAGTATTTCTTTACCTATATTTGCTTAAAGTAAAACTTATTCGACTAGTCAAAGTTTTTATGCATTCAGATTTCACCCTGTAATCACTGTACACATTCACACAACACACATTTACATTGTCCAGTTCTCAGAATTTTAAATTATAGGGATTTTATACAATATAATATTTTTACAAGAATTAAAATATCTTCACCACCAATAGGCAAAGGTGAACTCGTTTTATGATACCTTCTTTGTGGAAATTATAATATTTATGCTAAAATTTACCTTTAGTATCAATCCTTGTTGTGGTAATTTGTACAGGCAATCGACAACAATTCTTTTGGTAAATAAACTTCACAAACGGTATTTTTCGATATCTGAGATCATGATTTAATTGTCGTGGATATTCTAAATACCTTTCACAAACACTAAACGATAATTTATGCTAATAATAAATGGGGTTATATTCATTTTTGTGCGATTGTTAGACAGTTGTCAGATCAAAGATAAGTACTATAGAGAGGGATAAAGTCGCTCACTGTTCCTTGAGTATATTTTGACGTTCCATTGTCTAGGATTTCTATTGGGTACTACAGGGATACCAACATAATACAGTTAGTTTTATTTTAGAAATCGTGAAAGTTTATTGGCGATACAGGAGTGACAATTGTGAATCGTATTTGTTCGAGAGTGACTATTGGCTGAAGTAGGTTTTATTTACGGCGATTCTGCGCGATCAAGGTTTCGTCTTCGTGGTGGAGGAAAACACGTGTTCTTTTTCTGAGAAGAAGTAATGGTGGCTTGAACTGAAAATTTCGTGAAGAGATTCTTTTTTAGTTTTTGTGATTTTCTGGAATCATCTCATGTCGGGGAGTGTTAGAAAAGTATCTAATTATTATATGAAGCATTAATGGTAAAATTGAATCGTGTTAACATGGATGTGAGACCGTTATTTTGGTGATTGTAGTACCGGCTTTCTTAACTCGTGGTCGAGAAGAATTGGATTTGAAGTTCAGCCCATTGGTAGATGTATTAGCAGTCTCATATTGAAGGCCGATCGTAGTGCAGACCGTATATTGAAGGGTATACTGATTTTAAGAAGGTTTTAGCAGATTCTTCTAGGTCTTGATTGAAGTTACACCCTATGGGATAAGAGGGATTGTATATTTTAGGGATTTGGTATCCAGTGTTTGGGCCTGGTTTCTGGGACCAGTGTTTGGACTCATTTTTTGGGCCCAGTATTGGTATCTGGTGTTTGGAACCAGCGTTTCGACTGGGAAATTGCTGGAACTACAGAGATTGGGCATCGTACAACTACAGTGTTACAGGCAACACTTTCTGCCTATCGACATCACGCACTGGGAGATAAGTGAATAAAGAATTTATTTTTATTACTTTGGGGTATGTTTTCGGGGTAACTTTTAGCCTACGTCTGATATGTAGATATATGTATATTTTCTGATTTTATAAGACGTTAAATTGTTATTGATATGCTAGCTCATGTGCTATTAAGGGCTCATGACGTTTATTAAATTTTAGTAAAGTTCATATAATACATTAAGTGGATTGGGTATTTTACCTTAAGAGAATGTTTATTAAAATTAATGTATATTAATGGTAATATTTTAGATTATAAGTCTCTGGGTATTTAAATCTGTTTATAGAGAAACAAAAGGATTTTATAACTAGTTGCGGTTAACTTTTCTTTTGGTTGTGCCTGAAACGTCTTTCGCCTTAGATACAACGCTAATGACCGTGAGGTATTAACTGTTAATTTTATTGGGGTTTATTGAACCATCCATGTTTAGTTTCTGTAACTGCTAATGCATTACATTTACTGTGTTCAAGTATTTTGGGGTATTACAGGCCTATATATAATTAAGTAAAACAGTGTATACATTTGTTGATACAAAATACAATATTTCTACAGAGATTGTGAGGGTCATTAACTCAAGATAAGGCGGAAGGACAAAAATGTTTTCCGAATGGTAAATAAATAAGATCTTAGTTAAGGTTGTCTTTCTATTTCCTATTTATTGGGTAGATTTAAAAGTAGGACATTTCTGGATTTAAAAAGGCTCAGTATTAAAGATCTACCTGGGGTCCAATCCAAAATCAAAAAATTAGTATTTTTTCCAGATTAGAAAGTAATCACCCACTCCCATCACCACTAGAGTAAACCGGAGCCACAAGGTTGACATCTGGGTCAACCGAACTTTTGTGTCAGGTTAATTTGACGTTACAATATGAGAAGTAGTTTTTGACATACAAATCAACAATTCGATGGTTTGGTTCCAAATGTAAATTTCAAAATTTTTTGCACGGTTGAATAGAGAATAAAACTACCTTTAAAATGAGCTATCACTCACCACCCCATGCCATTTAAATTTTTCGAAAGGGTTGCTCTCCTCCAGTAAGGGATGAAATTAAGGGTAAACTATTCATACAAAAATGTACATTGTAGAAATCAAAAATCGACGTGTCTCGGCGATTTTGCTAACAAAACTCCAGTAAGGAGTTAGATAGGGGGGGGGTGGGTAAGACTTATGATGCTCACTGTATATTATATCGGTATATATACTCGGACAAAATATTGGAGAAGTTGAGTCATATGCATGATCAACACTGTTGTCTATGAATGAAAATTCAGACAGAGTTAGCATAGGCAGCGTATCAAATACCAAATAATTATTAATTATTTATTTGGCATTTGTTAGTAAACCTTATTAAATTTGTTTGTCAACATTTTTATTTAAACAAAGATAATGCGTTAAATATACGTTTTTGATAGTTTTTAAGAAATGAATATATTTATTCCCTAATGACTTCGTTATCTGTGTTTAATGGTTTTAAAATGTGTTGTAAGTAAATAAACGACAGACGGGTTACAGATTGAATATTGCCAGCACAGGCACAAAGACAGTTGAAAACTAACTTTCGACGAAGTTAGATTTGTATCGCTTTAACTATTTACGATAATTATTTTATATTTTATAAACACTTTTTTGTATAAGTGCTCTTTTCTGATATACGAGTAGGTATTCATGTTTGTGCCTTACAATTTGGTAGTGGTAGTGCATATTCGAGGAGTTATATTTATTGTGTAGTATATTAGGTAGGTACTTTAAAAGTTTATTAAATAGTAAAATATTGGTGTCTTTATAAATTTAATAAAAACAATTTAATAGTAGAATTATATTGTAACAATAGTAATGGATTCAGAGGCGGGTCCAAGTGAAACCCAATTACGTCGGCAAAAGCCCCTATCAAAGGATGAAAAGAACATTATATGGAAAGTGTATGATGGGCTATAACAGACACTTCCTACAAATGAAGCTGTAAACCGCAGTTCTTTTTTAACTGGAGTATCTGTTTCAACAATTGAACCTATTGTACGCGAAAAGACAAAAAAGGCTCCTTAGAAGCCCCTAAAACGCATACCCGTGGCCGAAAGTTGTTGAAATTGGACTATAATCAAAAACAAATCATTAAAAGAACTGTACATTCTTTTTTTTTTCGAAAACAAAGCCCCAACACTTAAAGTTCTTACGAAATTAAGAAAAAACGAAGAAATTCCATTAATGAGCCGTATTATGCGTATTATTTATGTAAAACATTAAAGTTGTCCGCCACTGTAAACATTTTCTCCTGTTTCGTAATCTCCGAAAATCTTTACGAATTTTGGTGCCGTGACAAATTTCAGCATTTCATTACATATTCCTGACATTATTTTACTGCTTATAATAATTGACGTTGACGACTTAAACTATAAGATAAAAAGGAAATTTAAAGGAGCTTACTATGAATTTTTTATAAGCATTTTTTTAAATGAAAATTACTCAAATTGTATAAACCAGGTAAATGTATTTTTTACTTCATTATACCATTTTTATTTATTTTTGGTAATTTATGTGATTATTTACCACTGTAATACATCAAAAAATGACAAGCCTCCTGTTTCCAGACGCACAAATCAAAACAAACTATATTTTTAAATACTGCATGGTGTACTGTTTATACTAAATCCCGATTGGATTTAAAAAAATTCAATTAATTACCTGAGTAACGTATCAATGATATTTGCAAAACGTCAATATGAAGTTTGCCAAAAAGGTGACGAAAAATGGTCTTGGTTATTCAATTACTGTGTGTCCCAGATTCGCTTCTTTATACAGGGATACAGGGATCTCGACAACAAAGGTTATGGAAATATCGGCGAAAAACCGAAAATGACGGAATTCGTTTTTCGCCTGTAAATCCGAAACGAATAATTTGACACTTTTTTGAGGCGAATAGATATCGTAAATGACATGTCTGAATAA